ATATCGACCTCCCAGCACAACAAGCCCCCCATCCTGTCCCGTTAGCTTCTGGCCAGCACAGCGGGCACCTCGCCGAGCCATCCGCGCAGACCGCGCCCGCGAGAACCATGGTCTGACCCCCCGCGCAGTAGAACCAACGCCGCGCATCCCAGGGCGGCGGCACCACGGGCAGGGAGGCCCTGGGCACCAGTGCGCGGGCGAAGAATAAGTCGCTGGGGGGCGCCCGAAGCGCCCGTCGCTATAGGTCCACGTCGACAGCCCTCGCTCGCACGCCCCCCAAATTTAGGCACGGCGACAGTCGATAGCGAAGGTGGCCACTGCGCATGGGACAGCAGAAGCAACGCGGCGAGTCCACGCATCCCATGGCGGGCAGGTGCTGCTGAGAACACTGTGATCCAACCACCGCAGATCTCAATGCCCCTCTCTCACCTGGCTTCAGGTTCAACTCGGCCGCGCCCTGGGAGGCTCGGGGCATGGCATCGGCTCAATCCAATCGCCTCGTGGATCCCATTGAGCAAGTGGCACTTCAGGTGCATTTCTGTCTTAACAAATCTGCAGTTTCTGCACGCCACCGCGCGCATCTACGAAGGAAGGCGCACGCTCCGTCGAGCGCTGCAAGGTCAGGCCGCTGCCCGTCTCTCAGCGCGTCGCTGAGCGAGCCCGCCATCTTACTCGACGAGGTTTAAGCAGCCGCCCCAGCTGCCGAAGGAAGCGCCGACGACTGCGGCCCACACGCCTGCTCCTAGAAGCGCCTCGGGGCCTGCGGCTCGAAGACCATCTAGGCCAACGCGCAGGGCGGCCGCATCGTCGAAAAGCACACTGGCATCTAGCGCGGGGCATCCCCCAGCAGCGACGCCAGCCACGTCGACGACGCCGTGGGCGTCCTGCCCCAAGCCGCGCGCGCCACGTTCGCCGGGGCGGCCACGGTCGAAGGCAGGGCCCCCGCCGCGCGCAGCCCGCGCGCCATGCCGGGCGCCGCGCACGGCTGGGCCGCGCAGCTTCCGAAAGCGAGGGGTTCTCTCCTTTATCTCGCGCAGCCGCCGGGGCCCCGGCCCTGCATTCCTAGCCCAGCACGCTGAGCTGGTTCACCGCCGCGACGCCGCACCTGCGCAACCCCGCGGCCACCTGCCCCGGCCTGATCCGAGGAGCTCAAGATCTTCGCCGCGTCGGCCGCGATCGGCAGCTCCAGCGTTTGGCGCGCCACGGCCAGCAAACCAGCGGGAAAACGAGCCACTTCAATAATGTCCTTCACTTCCATTGAGATCCAAGGTGGGGTCGTCCTCGCACGTGTCCAGCGCGCACGGAATGCTGGTCATCGAGGCAGAGCAAACGTCGAACGGCATCATCATGACTAGCTGTAAGAGGTACGCCGCCGCCGAGCAACCTGGGAGTGGACTGCGCATGGCGCGCACCGCGCAGGAGGCCCCCCCACACACACACACACACACACACACACACACACACACACACACACACACACACACACACACACACACACACACACACACACGCACACACACACACACACACACACACATACACATACACATACACATACACATACACACGCCGAGACGTCTCGGAGCTGCACAAATGGCTCGCGCGCCCCGAAGGAAGGCCCCAGGAAATCCAAAGCCCTTCGCCGCGCAGTCGACCTCAGCCCAGGGGACCCTGTCGAAACACTTGCCACTGTCCACATGGTCGCGACGCTGGCGCCCCCCGCCCCAGAATGCGCCGCCCCTGCGTAGACCGCGGCGCGAGCGCCCACGTCGATGCTCGAGCGCCCAGTGCCCAGTGCGAAGCACGGTCGGGCGTTGGCCGCCGCCCGCCTCGCGACGCGCGCGACCCTTCCCCTCGCGAACACCCAGCGCTTGGAGGCGAGGAGGGCGATCGACCTGAAGCCGCCCTGGGGCTTCGCGAGGTGCATCACGTGAACCGCCGCAACGCTAGACTGCCACCTGCCCCACGCCCCGCTGGCCCAGGGGACGCAGAGCAGCATTGCGATGGCATCGTCGGAGAAGAGGGAGCACGCTCGCGGAGGCATGGCGCCCACACCACGGCCAGTCTCCCACGCGAGCGATCTCGAAGCCCTCTGGACCTGATCTATCGTCGGCACAGGGAAGGTCTCCACAAACATGAAGCGAATGAGGTCGCCAGGTCCCCCTCCTTGTCGGCTCTGTGGCCGACGTCGAACCCGCTGTCATTTCGCCCCCATTCAGCCGAGACGACGCCACCCTGCTAGATGTCGCTCTTAAAACTCACCTCGTCGTCCGCCACGGCCCGCGGCAGGGCGGCGCGGATGCCGAACCTGTCTCCCTCGCGTTGCGCCCTGCCCTTGGGCTTAGTCATGCCGGAACTGGAGCGGCCCCTGTGATCGTCGAGTCCTGGGCCCACTCGTGAAAGTTCGTGGCGCGCTTGGAAGCCGCCTCTCGCTCAAAGGCCTCCGCGCGGCCGCCCGCCGTCGCCGCGTAGGTCCAAGTTGGCGTCTGGACCCACACACGAAGTGAAGGACAGGCCATGCCCATTCGAACAACCAGGCCCCCCTGGCGGAATGGATGTCCTGGCGGCGTCCTGGCCGAAGTGCCCTGGTCAGCCCAGCCCATCTCGGAGGTTCTCGCAACTCACGCTCCACCATACGGCCAAGGCCTTGGAGAACCAAGGAAAGGCTGCGCGAGCCCCCGAGCCCGCCACGGGACGGCCATGCTGCAGGGGGGCATCCTGCTGAGCGCCAGACGCACGTGGGCCGCTCTGCCCGTCCACAACACTTGTTGGGCTCCTTCACCTGGCAAGTCCTGAAGAGGTCGCGCTCGACGAAGGAGACAAAGGTCGCGTGCGTCTCATCGAAGCGCGGCAGCCCACAGGCCGCATCCTGCTTGACAGCGCCAATGTATGGCTGAGCAACCGGTGGCCCCTGCAGCGGATGTGCACCAGCTGAACTGGGCGCCTGTTTGGGGAAAGGCTCGGGCGCCCGCAGGTGGAGCCACTGGTGCACGCGCGGCCTTGCACCCAAGTCGAAACGCCACAAGGTAATGAGGCCGTGGAGACCAGGTATCCAGAAATTGCGGGTCGTCAAAAGCCTTGCCGAAGTCGGGCGAAGTCAACCAGTAGCCGATGGCTCGGTCGGCGCCTTTAGTCGCCGCAGCGCAAGTCCCCGAGAGGACGGGAGCGACCACTGCCGCGGGTATCGCCTGGAGTGGACCCAACGCGTCCACAAGGTGAGGCCTCGCATTCCAGTCCCCTACGAGCACGAATTGGGTCGAGTAGTAGCGCATGCACTCGGCTATGCGCACAAGCCTGCCACAGTTCACGGTGAACAAATCACTACCAACGAACGCGTGATCTCAAAAGCGTCAGTGACGCCCCCTTCTCCACCTAGCAACGCAGTGTACGCATGCGTCCTGGCAACATCCCCACGCCCGCGTTCGGTAGCTGTGACTCCAACCACCTGCACGGACAGACGAATGGCTGCCACGTCTTCCAGCCCATGTTTTCTGATGCTGCGGACCAGACGCATTGGGAAAAAAAACGTTTTTGTCCGCTCAAGCGCTTGCCATCACAGCCGAACCACACCAGGCACAACTAGCGGTTGCGGCGGAACCCGTGGATTACCCTAATTACAGGGTCAACGCCAACATCAAAGGCCTCAAATCGAGGATAGGCCGGTACAGCCAAAGAGACGGCAACGAGCGGCATCACGCAACGAAAATGTCACGAATTATGGTCCGCAAATGCAGGAGGAGGAGGAGGGAGGAGGACAGGAGGAGAGTAGCAGGAGCAGGAGGAGCGAGGAAAGAGAGACCAGTCAAGAACCAGGAGCAGCGTTCAAGCCAACATGCAATAGGCGAGCCGTCGCGCGCACCCTGGGACTGGAGCTCGCTTAAACACCGCGGAGGTCATCGCCCGACTGCTCGGCAGTGTAGGCACCCACATGGCCACGGCAATGCAAACGCAGAGGAAGATTCTACACAGTTCCGACACCAGGGAGGCGGAGGACGAAGCAGACGGTACGAGCTGCCCCAGGAACGCATCGCTTCCAATCTGGAAAGCCTGCGAGGCCCGAGTGCGCGACCAGCGGCGGCGCGCAGAGACTGAAGCTTAAAGTTGGAGGCCTGGAAATGGGCACCAACACCAACACAGGGGGTTGCCTCCACATGGGGAAGATGATCCTAGATTTCGGTGTTGGTGGTAATACGTCGGTCACCTTGGAAGCCAGAATATTACCACCACCACCCAGATCGGGATCTTTGTCCCTCGGTGGAGGCACACCGCCGATATTGGTGTTGGTGTCAACCTCTAGGCCTGCGATAAAGGTGTCACCAAGGAGCTGACCAGGCTCACGAGTACTACGACAGGGAACGGACAAGAGAGGCAAAGAAGGGAAGGAGGGGGGCAAAGAGGGGAAGGCGGGGAGATGGGCTGGGCGATGTATGTCGCCCAGCCCATGTGCGAGCTTGGCCCAGAGTCTTGCCGTCGAGGCGCAGCTCCTGCACGGTCACAACGTTGGCGCCCCCCGCACCCTCAATCAAAAACTGCTGGCACGCTCTCCAGCAAGACCCATTGAAGGTAACCACGCCTATCGTAACACTGCGAGCGCCGCGACGTCCACGTCTGCGTGCTGCCGAGAAAGAGGAGGACACGTGGAGAAGGACGACGACGGACGACAACAAAACTCGACGACGACGACGACGACGACGACGAACGACGACGACGAACGACGACCGAAGGATCCTTATCAGAGATGGCGCGTCTCGCCCCCTTAGAAAGCGGCCGCGGCCAAAGAGTGGCGCAGCGTGAAGACCCTTGACAGGAGCGCCCGGATGCAAGTGAGGACGCGAAAGAGCGGGTGCATTGTGCCCCCTCTCGGCATGTGAAACGGCTTCGACCCGACTGGAGTGCTAAACACAGACACGCGGGCCCCCAAAACACCAGCGGTTGATCTCAGCGCGAGTGGTAGGTTCTGGGGCTCGAGACCTTTTGTCCACTCCGGCCACCTTCATGGCCGCGCCCTCGGTGAAAGAGGAAAAGAAAAAAAAAAAAAAAAAAAAACGGGGCGCCCACGTGCAGCTCCTCCCTCCCCGCGGTTCCCCCGCTCCAAGGGCAGAGCCGCCTCCTTTCCCCGGGGGGCACGGCCCCTCCAGGGGGAGCTCGACTCCGCCCCCTGGAGACCTCTCCCTCCATGCCCGCGAACCTCCCCGCCTGGCGACCCCCATGTCGGGGGGGACCACTGCTCGGGAGCGGCCAAGAGGGGGGTGTCCAAGACGGGGGGGTGCAAATCATGACCGGCGGCACGTGCGCGGCCCGGCAGGGGGACCACGGACGCAATGAAATAAGAAGAGGCGCCATGGGATCCGGGGAAATATCGTCGCACGCCCCGTGATTTCCACCATCCCCCAGTCATCACACCCCTCTTTTGAAGGGAAACTGGGACACACAAATAAATACACACAAATAAAAGGATTCCCCATCTTTTCCCACATTTTCTGGGTTTCTGTCTTCCCCCCCGCTTCCCATATGTTCCCATAGTTTCTGGGGAATCGGCGATGAATTGTGTCTGTGTGTGTGTTTTTTCCCTCCTGAGCTTTGCCGCCCCCGAACTGCGGGGGGGGCGGGTCGACCTGGCATCGGCGACGCGTCGCCGACACCTCCGCGGTGGGCCCCCGCTCGCGACAGCGCACGTGGGCGGGGCGGGCTGTGGGGCCCCCGCTGGCGAGCAGGGGGCGACGCGTGGCCGATGCATTCCCCCCCGAGCCTCTTCCCCCCCCCCAACGTTGCTGAAGGGGCCCCAGGACACACAAAGAAATACACACAAATAAATAGATTCCCTGTCTTTTCCCACATCTTCTGGGTTCCTGTCTTTCCCCCCGCTTCCCATAGTCTCCCCTATTTTCTGGGGAATCGAGGATTAATTGTGTCTGTGCGCTTCTTTTCCTCCTGAGTTGCCCCTGACTCTCCCCGTCCCCAGGCCCCCCACCGCCCGAGCCCTCCTTCGCGCCGCAGTTGGACGTAAGGATGATCAGCGTGTTCTTGAACGACACCAGGCGGCCTCGGGACAGCTGTGGAGGAGTTGTTGTTCCCCCCCCCCGCGGCGCGAGCTCAGGAAAAAAACGGTCTTACGAAACTCCTCGGCGCGTCAGCGCGCAACAGAAATGTCACGACACGCGGCCCGCAGAGGGACCCTGGGAAGCAGCATCACGACAGATGGCGGATCCCAGCAACCCTGCACCAAAAGCAGACGCCACCTCTTGCGGGGCGCTGATTACTTCCGCCGGCGGAGCCGCCCTCACTTTACTGCCGCTGCCTTCGGCCAACCTTCCGCCGCCTTCCGCCGAGCACGAGATGCCGAGTCCGCCGAGCCTCAAAGGCGGGCCCCCTCCTGGAGCAGCAAATATACAGGCGAACGAAGAATTGCATAAGCATGACTACTCACTGCGTGGAGATCCCCATAAGTGCATACCTTTACATGACAATTGTCAGTGTGATATGGGAATTCGCGTCTAGCCATGCAACGAAGCATGCGAACATCATGTTGCAAAAGTGTAGGATTGTGCCAAGGCGAGCGTCTATCAGTGACACCTGTTTTTTAAGTGCGCGTCCATGTGAGCGACAAGCGCACGCGCGGGAAGCGAAGCTGCACAAAGACCTCATGTAAACGTTTACTCAAATACATACGCCTGCGTATCTTTCTTTCTAGGGCAGAGAACTCCTCCTTTGGCTCCCCGTCCGAAGCCGAAGCACCAGGTGGAGAGTACGAATGACAAGCGCTTCAGACGACACCTCAATATCTGCCCTTTTCAGCATGAACCGTCCACACTCGGCATCGGGTCTAGCTGGAAACGGCAAAGGAAGTCGTTCGCGTTTGACGCGCTAAGGGCAAGTGCTACTACTGCCACCCTCGCGGTTTGCACCCCGCAAACCGCGAGGGTGAGCATGAGCGAGTATGAGTTAGTCTGGGTATGAGTGACTCTCAGCATGCGTAAGTGTGAGTAGGAGTAGATCTGAGTATGAGAAGGTCTGAGTATGAGTAAGCTTGTGTCTACTCGCATGGACCTGTCCGCCGTGAATGTCTAGGCGCAAGAGCTGTCGAATATAAACGGGCTTCAGTTGTGACGGTCTGGTCATGAATATACGTGAGAATGAACTGGAGTGTGCATGAGCCTCAGTAGTACGAGCGCGTCTCTGCGCATGAGCCTGGGTTCTCCTGGGGCCTACTGGGGCCTCCTGAAACCTACTGAGGCTCCCTGGGGCCTCCAGGAGCCTCTTGGGGCCTCCTGGGGCCTCCTGGGACCTCCTAGAGAGGATCCGTGCCCCAGGAGAGGCCCAATCTATAGCAACAGACGTCGAGGCCGCCATGCGAACCCTGCCACTGGGGCCTTCAGTGGAGCTCCCTATGGGGCCACGATCCTCGTGAGGGGTGTGCCGAAATGGCCCGAGGCCGCCATGCAAACTTTGCCACTGGGGCCTTCAGTGGAGCTCCCTCTCCCTATGGGGCCACGATCCTCGTGAGGGGTGTGCCGAAATGGCCCGAGGCCGCCATGCGAACTTTGCCACTGGCGCCTTCGGTGGAGCTCCCTATGGGGCCACGATCCTCGTGAGGGGTGTGCCGAAATGGCCCAAGGCCGCCATGCGAACCCTGCCACTGGGGGCCTTCGGTGGAGCTCCCTACGGGGCCACGATCCTCGTGAATGGTGTGCCGAAATGGCCCGAGGCAGCCATGCGAACCCTGCCACTGGGGGCCTTCGGTGGAGCTCCCGACGGAGCCACGATCCTCGTGAGGGGTGTGCCGAAACGGCCCGAGGCCGCCATGCGAACCCTGCCACTGGCGCCTTCGGTGGAGCTCCCTATGGGGCCACGATCCTCATGAGGGGTGTACCGAAATGGCCCGAGGCCGCCATGCCAACTTTGCTACTGGCGCCTTCAGTGGAGCTCCCCATGGGGCCACGATCCTCGTGAGGGGTGTGCCGAAATGGCCCGAGGCCGCCATGCCAACTTTGCTACTGGCGCCTTCGGTGGAGCTCCCTATGGGGCCACGATCCTCGTGATGGGTGTGCCGACATGGCCCGAGGCCGCCATGCGAACCCTGCCACTGGCGCCTTCAGTGGAGCTCCTATGGGGCCACGATGCTCGTGAGAGGTGCCAAAATGGGGTGTACCAAAATGGGGCGGTGCCGAGATTGGTGATGATGCTGATGATGATGATGATGATGATGATGATGATGATGATGATGATGATGATGAGTATGATGAATATGATGAATATGATGGGTATGATGATGATGATGATGATGATGATGATGATGGTGATGATGATGATGATAATGGCGATGATGATGATGATGATGCTGATGGTGATGATGATGGTGATGATGATTATGATTATAAGTATTATGATTACTATCTTGATGCTGATGATGATGATGCTGATTATGATGACAATGATGATGCGAGGAGGAGGGAGGGGGCAGCGGGAGGAGGAAGGAACGCGGGGCGCTGTCTCTTCAAAACGAGGACCCAACACCACAGGATGGCTGGGAAAAATTGTCAAAAATAGTTGTTTTTAAGTCGTCCCCAGACTTCTTTTGAACTATGTTTGAATATTCCTCCTGTAGAGGGACATGCCCGACTTAACAATAGGACGAGCTCCAAGCACGGTCAGAGTGGGTTTCCTACCGGCAACGCTGCCTGCGAGCCGGCACGCTTCGCGAGTGCGTCCTGGCCGCAAGGCTGGCAGCGTGAGATGTGCAGTGGAAGCAAGCCGACACGTTGGCGAAGCTCACAGTAGGGGCAGTGAAAGTATTCAACGCGGAGAGCCCCAAATGTGCATCTCATTCTCCTAACACGTCTCGCTTTTATCCACAATACGCAAGAGTGACCCTGGGTAGAGTGACCTTTGGTGCGCGGACTACGGGGGCGCAAGGTGGCCAAATCCAAGCGCGCAAGTCGCCGCTGGTGCGTCGCGCTCAACCATCGGGGGGACCCCGATGAGCCCGCACCAAAGGTCTCTCCAGCCAAAGGTCGCTCTTACGTGTAGCCGATTTAGTATCTGGCTGTGAAATCCGGTCTGGCTGCATCCGCCTGCGCCAATCACGCACTGCTAGCTCTGAGGCCAGGAATGGTGGACGCGCAACCCTTGCCGAGCCTCATTCTCCCTTCTCCCCGTCCCTCGTCCCTCCTCCTCCTCATCATCATCCACTTTCTCCTCCTCCTCCTCCTCTTCCTCCTCCTCCTCATCATCCTTCTCCTCATCAGCATCAGCATCAGCATCAGCATCAGCATCAGCATCAGCATCAGCATAGTCCTCATCAGCATCCTCATCATCATCATCATCATCATCATCATCGTCATCATCATCACCATCCGTCCGTCGCACATCCCGAGGCACCAGAGGCAATCCACGAGTCACATAAAGAATAACATTGCTTCAGCAAGTCTACCTCTGACGGTGCAGAGGGCGAAGAAAGAAAATTACACAACCCTATTTGGTTGGTATTCCTCAAGGTGCCTCTTGAGGGCTAGTTGTTTTGCTTCTTCGGCTTTAACTGTAACTGCTGAGTCAAAACCCTCAACAGAGAGACCGAAAGAGGCAGCAACGTGTTCCTTCTCCCACCACTCCCCCCACACCGCCACATTAGGAGCTGAGAAATCAGCCGTGGGCTTACGCAAGCACAGCACAGATGCTTTGGGAGCAAGCATCGCTGCAATCGCATGCGGAGATGGGGCCCTCCAAGCCCCCACAGTCCAACCACTGCATTGGCGAGACCCGCAGGGAAATTATAATTTACGGGCACGGTTGCGCTGTCTGCGCAGCGTCTCGGAGGGCGGCGACACGTTGCATGGTTTGGCAAGGCTCAGAACGGCCTCCCAGGCATACCCGCCACAGGCAGCACAAACAAGAACCGTGGGGCTCTTAGGCGGAGCGGGCGGCAGCCCAGAGGTAAGAAAAACCTCAGCTTGTCTAAGCGCATGTCATTGCAACGCAGCAAGGATGCTTAGCTCTTCAGACACTTCAGGCGCGACAATGGGCCTGCCTTTGCAACGCTTAGACAAATTCCCTGGGGGACTGCTAGTAGAAGGAGACCCACCCGCCTCCCCAGAGGTCGACCGAGGAGGGAGGGGGAGGGCATCGTAGTCTTCGCGCTCGGCTATCAAAACCTCTTGGATAGCAGCCCAGCGCGCAAATTCTTTGACAATATCTGCCAGGGCAGCGAGGGCATGCATACAATCAGACGTGTCAGGATGCTGGCTAACTCCACGCCCCGCATACACGTCTGCAGCACGATTACCGTTCTACTCATACTCAGAAATGCGCCCCTCGGCAACAGCTGAGAAGGGAAGGTGGGCTTTGACCTTCACTGCACTGATGGATGGCAGCTTTCTGTGGATTTCTTCCCAGAGATGGCATCGAGAATGCCGAACAGAGGTTGACCAGATCTTGTCACTAACAGCACCAATGGTGCCCTGGCAGTCAATGTGAAAAACCGTTTCTCCTCCGACCACTCCACGATCTCCCTGCAAGATAGCAACATCCCCCCCATCACGCGCGGCCTGAAAAGGTCCTAGATCCCAAGGCACCGCGCCACAGACTGCTGCTGACAGGGAGCCGTCGTCGCTGAGCTGGGTTAAAGCCCAGCCCGCTCTGCGGGAGAGGGGGCAGGTGGGGCGAGGGCCAGACCCGTCAGTGAAAACCTTGCCTGGCAGGTGTCCTGAGTCAGGCCGTTTAATCCAAACAATATTGCACTCACTATCCCACAGAGGCCGATGTACAACCTCTATGGGCATAGGGAAAATACCACAAGCCGCCTTCTCAAGGTCCTGCCCTGACAGCTGTAGCACAGACGCACAGCGGAGCAGTCGTGGGCTACAATACTTACCTCGGTCGGCGGCCCAATGTGGACAAAGGAAACGTCTGTGCCAAAGTGTGCCAGGTCTGCTCTTACAAGCCTGGCAAAGGTCGGTGTCAGATTTCTTGTGGCGCGCTTGTTTGGCTCGGCACAAGTGTTGCTGAGAAATCAAAGAGCGCAAACTAGACTGGTGCCTAGCCGCCCAG